AGATTCGTAGCGCGCCAGCAATCCTACTTGCCCGGCCACTCACGCTGTGGACTGATGGCAGCAGCCAGCATTTTCATCTCCTGCCTTTCCTGCTTGTCCATCTCTCCTTCAATGAGTCCCTTTTGACTCGCGCCCGCAATTCCAGCAAACAAGAAGTTGTTGCCCTGACTGAAACTGAGATCGGGATGCAAGGCGACCTCTTTGAGAACAGCGACGTCGGTGGTGCCCAACGTGTAGACAACTTTGCCTGTCAGGTTGAACTTGATCAGGCCTTGCAAGGGATGACGTGGATCTTTGGTCATGTGCTCGGACAAGCTGGGATGTTCCGAACAGATGCGGCGTTCAAAGATCGGATCGAAGTGGTCAGATACATTCGCTCAGCATGCCACCCATATCGTCCACTCTTCTGCACCCTCTCCCATGCCTCGTATAGCTACCGGCAAAGCACTCACAAGGTGTATCGATTACCAAAAAATTCTCTACTTCCCAATCCCGCAAAAGGCCACGATCCAATCACCTTGACCCCATTCTTGCCGTTGAGGTTACGCGGAGGCACAAAGACGAGGTACGTCAGAAAAGTGACGATGCCTACCAGCGCAGCAACGAGTATTGGAGAGTGAGAAGTGGTGTTCTTGAGGGAAAGGCCGAGGGAAGAGAGCAAGGCGGTGGCGCGCTCTGATTGTGTTTGCTGTTGCGCTTGCGAGAATGTGACTGATTTGAACCACTCTTCCGCGCGTTCGGACAGGTGATGAGCCATTTGCGACATTTTGAATCAAGAATGATCGGTTAGGCCACCGCGCCGCACCGCAAAGGAGTTGATTTATCTCGCTGCGGACAGAGGATGCGTGTATGCGACCTTGTCTCTTCTTGCACACGCTTCGCTGCAAGAAATGCTTGGCAAGCGAGGGACAGCAAAGTCGGCGCTTGCGGTGGGTTGATAGAAGAAGCAGAGATTGATGCGATGGTGGTAGTGAGTGATGACGGGCGAGTGACTTTGCCGGCCACACGAGAACAACCGAAGTCGAGTTCAGCAAGACCTTTTGAAGCTGGTGAGTCAGAATGGCACGTACCGTGCCCTGTTCGAGATTGAATGCCTGATGGTCAAGAGTACAGCTTCGAGGAGGTCAGCCCCGCGCGTACAGAATGGTGAGTCGGCGACGAGGATCGTAAGTTGCTGGATCGAAAGAGTTTGCAGGATTGCAAATCGGTGTCAAGGAAAGCTTCGGTGGGTCTACAGCCACGGCAGCGCGCAGCATCTGGCAGCAATGAATCCAAAATCACATCAAAGCAGGTGAATGACGAATCAAGAATGTGTGAATGCATATCCTTGCACCGATGCATGCATGCATGCTGCACCCTTTGCAACTAAGCTCACGCGCCCAGGCTCCATCATCACCTGATTCAAGACAAACATGGATCTGGACGGTGCGTGCACCGGTAGATCATTCACCTGCTTTAACACACTTGCGACATGCAAGGGCGGGCCTTGATCAGGCCATCTTGAACGAAATGGAGTCTTGAGTGAGTGATTCTGGTTCGAGCAAGCCGCGGACCAGCAGCAACATGCAAGCAGCAGCAGCAGCAGCAGCAGCACCAGCAGCACCGAGGAGAGTCGAGTCATCAGTGTGAGTCGCGAGTGGGATGAAGTGATGAGCGGGAGTGCCAGTCGTGAGGGCGAGTGGAAGTTTGAGTCGTAATCACGGATAATAAGTGCAAGTATGTAGGCGTGACGCTGTGGGTGATGAGTGCTCTGGTGCCCATCTGTCGCACTCCACATCCAATCTTGCATGGCCATCCTAGCGTCGGTCAAGGCATGATGCAGATGCAACCCCCATCGATCATCCTGCCACCCGCGAGTCTTGCTGTTTGCGTGAAAGCACCCATTCGTGATTTACACATCTGCATGGCCTGCTGCTAGAAGCCCTGAACAATCCACCACCACCATCATCCTCGCCCCGCCCCGCCCCGCCTTGGGCCAGCTCTCCTAACTCCTGTCCACTTGCCGCACCAACCCAACCTCACTCCTGCCCTCTCTACGCTCGCTAGCCTCGACCTGCCAGCTCCTCGACCGAAACTACACGCTGGCTTCACGCACACTTGCACCTACTCTCTCCGGCCAGAAGCAATCATCGCACTGCCGTCTAAAGTCGCATCCACCATGTCGCATGCCCTCCATCGTTACTTTCACGCCAACGCAAGCGGTTCCACGGGCAGCAACGGCTCCTCTAGCGATGTCAAGACCATTGGAGCTCCTTATGCTCTAGTCACCGGAGCGACGGGGGGCATGGGCGAAGAGTGGGCTTTGCAACTAGCAGAATTAGGCTTCAACATCATCATCCAAGGTCGAAATCGGACAAAGTTGGAAGCAGTCAAGGCTCAGATCTCCAAGCGACGTGCTGCCGCATCCTCACGCAACGCCGGCGATGCGGTCGATGTACGACTGTTGGTGTGCGAAGCGACAATTTACCCGAATGCAGGACTGACGGACGGACTAGCCGCTGTACTTTCAGATCCTGCTATTCGACTGACAGTTCTCATCAACAATCTTGGTGTCAATGTAACGCATTTTCCCAGATTGGAAGATACGAAATCGGAAGAGATTGCAGAGATTGTCATTGCCAACTCCTTCTTCCCGGCAGAGACCGCGAGGATCTGTCTGCCGCATTTGAAAAGGCATCAGCCTGCTTTGCTCGTCACTGTGACGAGCATCGGCGCTTGGGCCACGCCGCCTTAGTGAGTCCTTTGAGCCCCTGTTGTCTCAAGCCAGAATGGCCCGCGCTACTCGAACACTCGGCTCATCCTACTCGCACCCTACCTCCGCTGCTCCGGCTCAGCCTGGCTCCTTACATCGGAACAAAAGGCTTCGACGTGGCTTTCTCCGACTCTTTGCGCAACGAGCAGATCTCGGAAGGGACGCAAGTGGATGTGGTGTGCATGGCACCGGGTCAAGTGCAAAGTGGAATGTGCAACGAGCCGGTAGGATTGATGGTGAGCACTTGCTCCAGCTTCGTAGCCTCGTGTGCTTCCTTTCGCATGAGGTCAAATGCTGATCGAACCTTGCCACTTTGCCTTCTTCTTTGATGCAGATTCCCACGTCCAAAGACTGGGTCACTTCCGCTATCGCTTCTTTGAGGTCTACGTGGTGGACTCCAGTGCCTGCTGCTGTGATCGCCCCATGGACCCCACATGCGTGGGGCCAGTGGTTCACAGCTCTAGCACCTAGATGCATCATCGGTCCCATGTCGCGCAACATCATCAAGGATCTCAAAGCCAAAGAGATGGACGCGAGAAAGGGCTTGTGAGGTCTTGTAAGATGATATGCGGGTTTGACTAGCCAGCACGAATCCAGAATCGAGAGCATCAATCGAGCTCGTAGCTCTGCTTTGGGTCATTCCGGCACAGCGCCCGGGCAAGTCGAATGAGTGCGGAATGAAAGCGGATGATTGGAGAATGCATGAGATACCCCTTGCACGCTTGCCACCCTCTCTTTGTGCACGAGCCCAAGTGATGATCTGACCATGAGCATCGAACCGCATCAACAATTCGTCGCTCACGACTCGAATGCAGGAGTCAAGAGTGTGAGTTGTGTCGAGTCGCTCGCTTGCTTTGCTCTGTGTAAGGATCCCCTTGTGATCGCTGGATCCATTCATTCACGTGATTGTTCCCCGAGTCGGGTCGCGAGTCAATCAAGAATTAAGATCCAAGATCTCCAAAAGATTGATCAAGATTCATCAAGATTCATCAAGATACAAGATTCTTGATTGGTTCTGAGCAAAACGATCACGTGATTTCTTTTGCGACATCCAGCTCCCGCGGGTTCCACCTCCACTTGATGGATTGATTGCCCATGCAGCAGGGCCGACTTACGCCGCGCCGATCGAGTCTGGGCGAGTGCGAATTCTTGAGTCGTGAGTGCGAGCCCGTACGTCGCAGTGCGTTTCGAGATTCAGCTGGGCAGTCTGAGTGTGAGTCGTGAGTCCCAAATCTTCCCGAGGTTTTGCGCAATCGAAATTCGAGCATGAGCTGCCTGCCTGCCTCCTTGTGGACCCTCGCTGATTACATACGACAGTATATACACACCCGCGTGACCGCTTGCTTTGCCGCGCGCATCTGTTGTGGTGTGGCTGCATGCTCTCCCCGTCTTGACGATTCAACATTCTCCTCACCATCCCTCTCACTTCGACACTATCAGTCTTTCGGCGCTGCGCATGGCCTACTTTTTCGTTTTCAATTGCTCCTCAAGGCTACCGCATATATCCTCGTTGATCTTTGCGAGACACGCCGCTGGCTCGCATCTACGTCGCGACGAGGATGTCTTCTGCCGGACGAATGACGCACGCCGAGTATGGCGATGCTGCCTATCGAGATGCGTGAGTCCTCGATCGTCCCTGTCTTCCGCCAAATGGTCCCCAAGAAGCTACTCTGACACCATGCAACTGCACCGTCCGCGCGCGCCCTTCCCCAAAAAAAAGTCAATACAACGCAGCGCTAGTGGGAGGAGCGTGGGGAGCTACAACAGGTCTGGGCCTGGCTGCTCCTGCCGCCGTCTTTCTCCACAGATCTAGCACCAGTTTCAGAGGACTTAGTCTGCCTGTAAAGACCCTCTTTGTGGTCATGGCTACCGCCGCTGGTGGCGTCTGGAATGCGGACAAAGCGGGCATCAAGTTCGAGGTGAGTCAAAGGGCAATGGGCGTAGGCGGACGCTGGATCGTCGTGGAGTTGGGTGCGCTTTGAGGGCTTGCAGTCGCGTGGCAGGTCCATCGAGGGACGTCTCTTACGCCAGTCGGGTCTTGCAGATTCCGCCGTTGCTGATGCACGACGCCTCGCCTTTCGTTTCAAAATTTTCCCCTTTTGCAGAGATCTCACTTTAGCGATAAAGGAGCACAGGTGGTCAGACGAAGAGCGAGCGCTGAAGAGGACGCGTGGGAGCATCTGTCCAGGTCCGATCGAGCACTGACCTGGGCCAAAGATAACAAATTCGCCGTCGTAGCAGGCTCGTAAGTCGCACTCGACCTTCTCACTTCAATGCCATGGGTATTGTTGACTAACGCAAGTCAACTTTCGTTGTCAGATGGGTCGCATCCATGGGCTTGAGCGGCGCATACATTCAAAGCCAACCATTGTCCTTTGCGCAGAAATTGGTGCAAGCGCGTGTCTTTGCTCAAGGGTTCACCCTCGTCTCGCTCTTGGCCATGGCCGCCATCACGCAAATACCGACGGAGGGCGACAGGATTCTGGATGCGAGGGATAAGAAGGGCGAACACTCTTGGAAAGACTTTTTAGATGAAAGTGATGGAGGGAACAAGCATGGGCAGAACGCATAAGATGCATCTAGCGGAACTGGCTGGCTCGAGGAGAGCACCACCCGAATCCAATTCCAATATACTGGTCATTCTCCACCTTTCTGAAGAACGCATCCGCACCAAAAGCGTATTTCTCACCTCTGTCTGGCCGTCGAATACACGCGTGCAACTTCCCAACGAAGGTGAGAGCGAGGCAGGTGCCGTATTGTCAAACTGACCATGACCTAGAATCTGTGCGCGCGTTCACCGAACACGTCGACTCTCTGGAAGCACGTTCGAACACACATACGCTATCGGAGAAGGCATCGGCGTACAAGTATCATTGGACAACGACACGCCATCTCAAAGGTGTCGCGGAATGGGCGTGGGGGACCGGTACAGGTCTCGAACAAGGAGAGCAAGAAGAGCAAGAGTTGATCAATCACGTGAACAAAGTCAAAAGATCCGAGCACTGTTGTTCCTGCCACTCGATCGCGACGAGTCGTGAGGGAAGGCCTTTGCTTGCCATTGCTGTGCCGCTAGCTTCCTTACTGCGTCGATGCGTTTAGAGAGTGGCCGCAACAGCGACGGTGAACACAAAGACGCCAGCCAGAGCGGTCGCGGCGGGAGCGACGATGAAGGCTGCGGCGTCGCTATGTCCAGCGGTGCTGGAGGAGCTTCCAGTGGAAGATCCGCTGCTAGTGCCGTTGGCGGCTGCGCTTCCGCTAGCCATACCTGCGGGCACGCTGAGGGTGAAGTTGCCAGTGGCGGAAACGCAGAGCTGCTTGAGCTGCTCCAAGCCGCCAGTCAGGGCTTGCGCATTGGTATTAGGGCACGCCATGGAGCACTTGGCCGTCTCGTCGACGAATTCTTGCTTTTTGCTGCACGTCACAGTGTGGAAGAAAAGGGGGGGAGAAGAGGCGAAAAGGGATGAAGGATGTGTCAGACACGCACAACGCATCATGCTACAAGGTCCATGCTGGCACTTGCATCTGCCTCCCCTCGAGGCTGTTCGGACTGAGGCCGACACTCACCAGAAGCAAGCGGGTTCTCCCAGTCCTTGACATTTGACATCAGTGGCAGATTTTATGGCGCACTGCTGGAAGCATGCTTGCAGCTCTGCAGCTTGACCACCAGTGGCGGAGCCGCTGGCTGTACCGCTTGCGGAACCGCTCGCAGAAGGATTCGTGGCACCGCCCGCGCTCGCCGTACCGTTGGTGGCAGAATCGGAAGCTGCACTGGCCTCGCTGTGATGATCGGCATAAACGCTGGACACGACGAGGAGCGCAGCGAAGGTGGCGAGCAGGAAGAGGTTAGGACGGAGTGCGAAACGCATTTTTGATCAGCTTCTTGGGAGTTCGGCAGGCGTTGCCGAAGGAGGAGGCGAAGTTTGAAAGATAAATGGACAAAATTGGCCGTTCAGGCTGGGTCGAGCAGGATGTTTGTTGAGGATAAGAGAAGGGGGAAATCGGAAGTTGGGGAGAATGCGAGGTTTTTATAGGTGTGAGGTGCGGTCGATCAGCCTCTATTCACCGAGGTCCTCACTTTGTCGCAGGTAATTATTCGTGTCTGGACGGGCGCAGCTGTGTATTCATGTCCGTTCAAATCTTCACGACCATCGTGCAGCAAGCGGTCCGGAGCTGGCTACGTTCATGCCGCTCGATTGCGCGGGCGATTTGGTCTTCATATACGATGATAGTGAGCGCAGACAACGAAATTGCGGTTCATCAAGTGCTTCAGGGGGCTGACAAGCAGCACGAGAGCAGAGCCCGGCGCAATGCCTCCTGTCCCAAGTGTATGTCACCGTCAATGCACTTTCGACGGCCTGCATCCCTCCGTTCATTTCAATGGTGAATTGACGTCCTGGCCCCTCGCCCATCTTTTGACTCGTCCTGTGTCGTGTCGCGAGCGCGGTCATCTGCTTTTCTCTCTACGTAGCCTGTTGCTCATCTCAATGTGTCGGCTAGGCGGGCAGAAGGTAGCAAGCCACCTTGACTTGGGCAGGCGGTATGCCACGTTCATGAGAGCTTGCCGCTACCGCCACCGCCACACCCAAGCTCCAACCTTTCCTCCTCAAGTAGGAGGCGCTGACTCTTCTAACCCTCGCGCACTTCAGAATTGCTCCTCCTCCTGTGCGTCGCCTCGCCCCTCTTCGATTCATATTGAGATCGATTCTTAAGAGAGCGTCGTACAATTGAACATGTCCCATCCTCGATGTAGTCGGTGCTTGTGGCCCGTGATGCTCCGCGGCGAGAATGGTCTCAAGTCGGCGCAATTTTCGCAGAGCGCCCCTTATTGAATGCGCAGTCCCGATCACAGTGTTCCTTCATTGGCCATGGTCTATTTGTCTCTACCGACATCCACATTCGCGGACTCGAAGAAGGCACATTCCTCTTGTTCCTCCTCCAGTGTCTCGCTGGCTGCACGCGCTCCATCGCAACTTTATTCCTTGTATTGTGGGCACGAGTCATAACAAAACGCGCAGCAGAGCAGATCCCGCTGGCCAGGTCATGAATGTATCGTACATACTTCCTTACCTCGTCCCGTCGCAGCCACAAGTTGGATGTGCGACTGCTGCTCGATGGACATTTGTTCCCATCCTTCCGCGCCCCTTCCCGAGGTCGCATTTG